CAGCCCCAAATCCCGACCCGGGGGTCCCCAAATCCCGGCCCAGGGGTCCCGGGGGTCCCCAAATCCGAACTCGGGGGTCCCGGGGGTCCCCGGAGCCCCCAGCCCCAAATCCCAACCTGGGGGTCCCCAAAGCCCCCAGCCCCAAATCCCGGCCCGGGGTTCCCGGGGGTCCCCAAAGCCCCCAGCCCCAAATCCCGACCCGGGGGTCCCGGGGGTCCCCGGAGCCCCCAGCCCCAAATCCTAACCTGGGGGTCCCCAAAGCCCCCAGCCCCAAATCCCGGCCTGGGGGTCCCGGGGGTCGGGGTGGCCCCGGTGTCCCCGCCCTGTCCTTGTCCCCAGGGGACACTGACACCGGGGGGACACGGGGGGGCATTGGGGGGACATGGGGGGGGCAGGGGGACATGGAGGGGGACAGGGGACGGGGACACGGGACAGGGGGTGGGACAGTGCTGGGGACAGAGGTGACCCAGGTGACCCAGAGGTGACCCAGAGGGGACAGAGGTGACCCAGAGGTGACCCAGAGGTGACCCAGAGGTGACCAAGGTGACCCAGAGGTGACCCCGAGGTGACCCAGAGGTGACCCAGAGGTGACAGAGGTGACATGAGGTGGGACAATGTTAAGGAGATGACCCAGAGGTGACCCTGGGGTGACAGAGGTGACCCAGAGGGGACAGAGGTGACAGAGGTGACCCTGGGGTGACATGAGGTGACCCAGAGGGGACAGAGGTGACCCAGAGGTGACCCAGAGGTGACCCAGGGGTGACAGAGGTGACCCAGAGGTGACAAAGGTGACCCAGAGGTGACCCAGGTGACAGAAGTGACCCAGAGGTGACCCAGGGGGGACAGAGGTGACCCAGAGGTGACCCAGGTGACCCAGAGGTGACCCAGAGGGGACCCAGATGTGACCTCGCTGTCCCCGCAGGTCTCTGACGCCGCCGCTCCCGATGGATTCTCCCGCGGGACCTTCCACGAGAGTCCCCAAATGTCCCTTGATGTCCCCAAGTGTCCCCCCGTGTCCCCAAATGTCCCCAGTCTGTCTCCCCCGATGTCCCCAAGTGTCCCCGGGCTGGGGGGCCCTGGGGGTGGCCGGACCCCCCCGTGTGTCCCGGGGGGGCCCCAACCCCAAATAAAAACCTGCAGAGCCACCGGAGGGACACTGGGGGGATTGGGGGGGACATTGGGGGGACATTGGGGACATTGGGGACATTGGGGACACTGGGGACA